TATCCCCTTGTAGCTTCTATTATGAAAGGGATGTCTTCTGCTTAACTCATATTTCCTTTAAGATGTTTTTCCTTTCCTTTTGGAGAGAAAAGTTTGGTATGAATGACTTCACCTGAAAATCAGAGTCTTCTGGGTCCGAGTTCTCCTCACAGGACATCGGTTCTGCTCAGGGTAAAGACCCAGATTTGGGCTCAGAAGTGGCAGGGAAGGTTTTGCCAGTAAGGCCATTAAATCACTTCTCTCCTCTATTAAATACAGTCTTATTTATAGACAGTATTTAGTATGCTTTGTATACAGCCTTTAAGAGAAATTACTGCCGTTACAGCAGCAATAGCCTTAGATTAAATTTTTATTCATGCAGCCTTGATACAAACTAAACTGCTGCGGATTTCCAGGCAAAGCAGGAACCTGTGATAATTCTGAAAGGACACGGAGGAGCTTCAGCAAGCACTGCTCCAACAGCTGCTGTTAATGACCACAAACTGATGGGCGTGCCCAGAGCTGCAGCAGGGAGGAGGAAAGTTCAGGCAGCAGTTCTGGGGCATCCAGCCCCATAAATTTCACACAGAGGGTGGTGATGCACTGGAACAGGCTGCCCAAGGAGGCTGTGGATGCCCCATCCCTGGAGGCATTCAAAGCCAGGCTGGATGTGGCTCTGGACAGCCTGGTCTGCTGGTTGGTGACCCTGCACATAGCAGGGGGGTTGAAACCAGATGAGCACTGTGGTCCTTTTCAACCCAGGCCATTCTATGATTCTATGGTAAATCAGAGTAGAGCTGCTGAAATCAGTGTGCACAGCCCAGTAACACCTTCCAGCCCTGCGGTGCCGCCCGGCCAAGTGCCAAAGTGCTCGGTATGTCTTCATTTGTCCTCCCAGCAAATGGCCAGGCCTCTGCACAGTAACGCTACGGCACAATGGGGAAAACATTGCCTCAGAAAATACGATAGGTTTACGGCTTTTCTGTTTTATACTGCAAAGGCATAAAAACAATTAGGGTTTGGAGGATGTTGTTTGAAAGCAAAGAGAATGATTGGCAAGGCAGCGAAAAGAAATACGGTGCCCCTGAGATGGTGAGGGACGTATTGTTTTTCCAATTTCAGAGAAGTGCCAGATCGGAATTACTTTCCCAGGATCACGTGGGGTGATCCCAACACCTTTCTATTGAGTGATTCTTATTGGAGGGTTCCTTTGCCTTTGTGTGCAGGGACCTCGGTGCTCTGGAGCCATCGGAGCCCGCGATCCAGCAGGGGGGATTTATGGTGTATTAGCTGCTCTGTATTTACTCTCCACATAAATATCCTTTCAAAGTAAGCTACCTCACCCAAAGGCACTTTCAGAAGCGTATGGCCAGCAGTAACGTTGCTAAGAGAATTAACACTGGCCCACATCATTAGCGGTAATTAGCACTGGTCAGGACAGGAGTTAATGCACACTAGCACATGTAAATTCTGCCTTCACGTCCCCATGCAGACATAAAACAAGCTGGGAATGAGACACCATTTGTTGAGGAAATACAGGGAACAGGTGATGGTCTGATGCCTCGTGTGAGGCTGAATGCAAATTCTCTCTGTTCCAGACCTTCACTCAGATGGCAGAGCACTGCACCCACTTCTTGGCCAAGTGATGCTGTGCAGAGGTATTTTATAACCCCTCATTGCTGTTGGCCTTAGGGGAACAAACAGCCAGAGGCTGCAGCAATATAGCCAGATATCTTCAGAGAGGGTTTCTAAGTAGATTCCCACTATGAGGTTCACCATTTGTGTCAGCAGATCTAAATTACAGGCTCGGCAGAACAGAAGAAAACAAACAAAAAGAAGGAAATGTTGAAACAAATTCAAGCTCTCCCCTCCTGGGGGTAAGAAGCTAAATGTGGTGGAGGAAGGATCCTTGGCAAGGGGCCAGGGTATTTAGGGGCAGTGAGAATAACAGGGAAATGTGCATGAACTGGGGGGAAAGAAAGAGACTGCTGGCTAATTGATAAGAAGCCAACAGGCTCAGCAGTTTGAGGAGCTGAGCAGAGTGAGGAGGAATGATGCTGGCCTGGAAAGAGTGTGGGGCAAGAAGGATGCTCATGGAGGGAGGCAGGCACTTGGCCACAGCTGGGGCAGATGTGGAGCACCAGTGCACATCTGGTGCCTGCGTGCAGCCGGCGAGTGGAGCACAGTGTTCTGTGCAGGGGTGCCAAGCAGAGACCCGAGGTCAGATCTGTCCTCCTGGTGGCCAGCTTGGAGTTTTAAAGGAAGGGCGTATTGCACCTGGTTGCAGGCACCCTGCTGCTGCCTTTCTGCACAGGGTTTTGCCAAGCGTAGCCCCTGATAGTCACAAATTCATGAAAACTTGGTGAAGTGGACAGCAAACTTTTGGGTTGAGCACCCTCATATTTCATCCTACTGACAATCACTTGTCAATATCACAATATAATCATGGCAAAAATGGATTTTTTCAACACAGAGCTCACCTGCTTCACCTTGCTGGGACTGTTCCCCCAGCCAAGGCTTCCTGGGTCCTGGAGGATGTGGGCTGGGTCACTGCACTCCCGATTCCCTGGTATTGCTGTGACCCAACTGCTCCCTGCCTCACCAGCCAGGTGTTCAGGACTGGTCCCTGGAAACAGGCCTTTTCCAAGCAGCAAAGTAGTCTGGAGCATAATATTAAATTAACTTTTAAAAATAGATGGGTGGGGGGACATGAATACTGAATTTGATTTAAACCAATCTTAGATTGATTCTGCTTAAAATGACGAGCGATTCATTTGATTGAAACAAACAGGACTTGCTCGTAAACTGCAACGAATTGGTTGTTTCTCTGGGCTCTGCCTGTTCCTGGCCAGCCTCAGCACCCAGCTGAAGTCAGCACCAGGATATTTTGATGTCAGCCAGATTTGGCCGGGAACCCGGTGGCCTTTTGCTCCAGCACTTGTGAATGGGTTTCATCTGATCAAAGCGATGGGAGGCGATGTAGCCGAAGGGGGGCTCAGCGCGACAACGGCTGGGAAGAGCCCCCAGAGCCAGCGTGCTGCACCACTTCAAAGCAGAGCAGTGGGCACCCTCTGCGAGGAACAGGAACCCGTCCAAGGGAAAACATGAGGCAGGCAGGCCCGGCTCCCAGACAGAGCACCAGGCAGGTAGGGGAGGCTGTAGGAAAAGCATTGGATAGTGGAAAGAGGGAATGGAATAAACCGTGAGCCCAGTGCGACAAGTGGTCCTCTGGCGGAGAATGTGCCAGGGCCCTAAAGCTTCCATCATGAGAAGAGCAGGAGGAGAAAACGTGCCATTCACAGAGGATCATCACCCAGCAGGGAGGGCATGCGGCATTCCCAGGCAGGGAAAGGCAGCACTCCAGGCCTGGTGAGGATTTTAAGCAGGATTGGAACTGCGTAGGAAAGTCGGCTGGTTGGGCTTTGCCCTCACATACAGGCTCCAACATGTGCTTCTAATACAGAAAGTAAAGCAGAAGCTAGGGTTACTGCGAGCCGGGGGTACTAATGAATCAAATTGTCTCTACACAACTTCAAAGGCTGAGGGAAGAAGCAAGAATAACTAGAAATGTAACACTAATGGCAGTGCTGTACAGCGCGGGCACTGGTGGAACCATGAGGGTCTCCTCATCAGCAGAGAGGTGTGGTGTGTATGGAAAGAAAGAAAGAAATCTGGTGGTGACGTGCGACAAAAGGAAGGGGTTGGCAGCAGCCAGGATTGTGGTGGAGTAAAGTAAGAGTGGACTTTGGTCACTGCAACACTGAGAAAAGAGCGAACACATCTTTGGCAATTTGAACTGGAAGGATGAATTGTGGGATAGTCCCCCTCAAAACGTGCTGAGAGCTCTCGTAGCCAAGATGCAGAGGGTTCAGAGGATGCATGGAAATTATGCTGCCGTTGGGGTGAGCTGAGCTGGTTGCTGTAGATGTTTCTTTGATTTGGTGTAAAAACAAACAAACAAACCAACAAAAAGACACAGAACAAAACAAGAAACCTGTCTGAACGTGGGGACCTGGGTGTCTGGGTGGGTCTCTGCCTGTTCCTGGGACTCAGCTGAAGGTCACAGAAAGAGAATGCCACCTTCAAAGCACAATTACAGTTTTTAACCAAAGCCAATATGCTTGAGGTGTAAGAAGCGTTCGGCAGGGTAAGCTGGAAGGGAGCACCGCTGATGCGGGTTCTTCTGACCTGTGTTTCCCTCCGGTACCCCCGGCTGCAGAGCTGCTGCTGAACTCTCTAATTAAGACCCCAAAGCGACCCCTATTCCCGTCCCTCGCTTCCTTTCTCCTTTCCCCTTCGGAAAATGCTGCCCGGGGTTGACCCAGGGCCGAAGTTAACAGAGGGACACAGAGGGGACGACAGAGATGGGCTGCCCTGTCCCAGCACCGAGCTTCGGGAGCGTTCCGGGGGTGATTCGTAAAATGTGCAATAAGCAGAAGAGTTTCCTAAGTTGCGCATAAAGCGCTCCTTCGTGCACGCACACACATCCGAGGTGGCTTTTCTCGCGGCCGTGTTCGGCGGCCAAAAGCGACGCGGGCAGCCCTGCAGCACAGCCTCACCGCCCGCCGCAGCCCGACCTGGCCCGGCTGTCCCCCGCTGTCCCACACCCGCTCACAAAATCGAGTGCAAAGCGCTCCGAGAGCAGCGATGTGCGCTGATAACAACGCACGCCGCCCCGAAAAAGGGCAGCGAGAGCAAATTTAAACTATTTCAAAACTCTTTCTTCCTTCC